CTGCATGCAATTCGTGACCTTCGGCTGGGAAAATACACATGTTCCAGAACATAGTTAAACCATATTTTATATGCGAATTTATGACTGGCACGCATTTTGGCCAATTCGGCATGCACACAGTGCCGGGAAATGGAGCAAGCCGGAGATCGGATCAGCCGCCGGCCGGGACATGTGTGTTGGCTAGTTTATTGCGGCTTGCGGCCAGCCGTGGGTGTGGGGCACATATAGGCATGTATTACTGTCTGTAGCGTTTTGTAGCAACAAGTGCAAGTTTGCGTATCCCATTCATTTTGATGCCAGCATGCATACAAACTTGGTTTATTTATAATGCAGCCATTCGATGTTATGTTAGTTTTTCATCTATTTGTTTAAATCTATTCTATTTTCTTTTCATTTTTCTTTTCTTTGGCTGCTGTACAAAGCAAATTTAGCACTTAATTTAGCGCAGTTTCGAGGGGTGCGGTGTGCTTATTGGCGGAAAAAATTGTTTCTTACTGGAGCAGAGCCCCACAGTTGCGCATAAATCCACATGTGGTTGTTGCTCGCTTCTGGAATGTGCGAAAAAAAAAATGGAAAACTTTTGGCACATCTGGCACACACAGACACAGACTTGCGAATCATAATACAATTGAACTATAATTGGCATTCAGGATTACAAAGTCTATTGCTTACGACTATATATGCAAGTCTTGATTGAATACGGAAATTGGGATGGACTTCTCAAATGCAAACATTATTGCATTACTTCTTGAATCCGATTGATTACAGGGTAGCATTTAAATTATGGTATTTATGTTAGACAGTTGACCTTTTAATGAATGAGAAATGAATAAGAAAACGTGTGGGGTCGACCAACAACATATTTAGATTGTAATAAATTAGCCAGACAAGCACTCGCGAGAGTTGCGCAAGTTCAAGAGCAGGGTGCCAAAGAAACAATCTGTAAAATGATGCTAGACATTAATTGGCCAGCCCTATGGGCTCATACAAATCAATGCCATCATCATCATCGTCTCCATGATAAAAAAGAACACACCAAAATGCTTGGCCTCGGCACAGTAGCAGAAACTAAAAAAAACTGGGAAACTAAAAAACTATCAAATTGTAATTTGTTCTGCTCGTTTCGTGCTCGGTTGAACAAATGCTGAATATATTAGAACATCGTGTAATGCTGTTGTTTATTCAAAAGTAGGCGCCATTGGTCCAATGCCAGCGCCTGGTGTCGGCCCACGCCCCAGATGGTGTTCCATGCGGTCCGCCTCCCCCGCGTAGGCAACTGGTGGATTGACCACTTGTCGTCATCTGGCCACCGGTTTTAGGTTCTATTTCTGTGTATGTACGCTTGATTATGATGACGTCGATTTGACTTTTATTGTTGTCATATTTATATTTAGCATAGCCAATCATTCAAGCGCCTTGTATTTAGTTTGTAACGAAGCACACATCGATTTTTCACATCAGGCAATCAATGCCTCGATGTATTCGTTTAACGAAATGGCCTGGCTGGATTGTCCTTTTAGGTGTCGAGTTTGCGGGTTCGCTATTATTTGGGAGGATTGGGAATGTTCTTACGAACATTTGGGCAAGCCAAAGATTTTACAAGTAGGCCCTGCTAGCTAGGCGTATGAAGTTAACAATAAATTGTAATATATTCAGTTCAAAACAAAACACCAAGACGAGAACACAAAATTTTCTTAAAAGAAAGTCTCGGTTTCATATAAAAGGCAAGCAGCAGTTTTCGTAAACTTAAAATTTAATTTATATTATATCCGACAAAAACTTATTCATGAATTTATTACATTTCGCATTGACAGGCACGCGATAAAAACTGGCATCTAAACGGTAGAAAACTCGCTTTCCAAACAGGAAACTATTGCTACTAGTTTATTAAATAGAATAAACTTTGGATCTGTGGTCACTGTTATCGATGGATGCCACAACTGGCTTCATTGCAGAGGCAAATCTAACCCGAGTTGCCATCAGGATTGAAGCCTCGAGGATCTTTAGTGCGAGTAAGAAAAGAAACGCAAACTGGTTTTCTGCCTCCAGAAAGGGGCAATCCTTGCATCTCGCGGCTGCCGACAGTGGCCCATTCTAAATGTAGTTGGTGTCACCAAGGAAAAGAAAATTGCCTCAAATCGACGCATTCTGCGTATTACTACCCAGCAACAAGGTGTGAACAAGCGTTTGTACAGAACGTATAAGTTCCTTAAAGCCGAGATTGATTAAAATGTACACAGAGGTTATCCATACACTCACAGCTTACACATCTTATGTTAACGCTTACGATATAACTTTAATAAAGTAACTAACCCAACTCAATTATGTGTATTAAATTGGGTGCAGGGTATTGTGAGGTCTTTAGTACCCGACGAGTGCGAATGCTTTAAGTCTTCCATGCAATCGATAAGCATCGATTTATATAAGGATCTTAGAAACTAGGCTTTCTATGGAATATATAAATCTAGAATTGAATCTACGAAATTAAAAGAAAGTAGTTCTAGTAAAAATCAATGCATCATTGTTTCGTTTTGTTTTCGCTAGAATTTGACCTCTTAACTGTTTCATAAATTAATCTCCCAGTTAGAATTTTTTTATTTTGCATTCCTAATTTGCTCGATTAAAAAACTGTTTACTTTCAATTACTAGGCTGGTTGTCTGTGGCGCATGTGAACCATCAATTGGCCACGCTTCATTAATAATAACGTTCTCTTTATATTTCGAACAAAGAATCATTTTTTTTTCAAGAGGCCTTTGTCATTAGCAACATTTATGCGAGCAACATTGTTGCCATTTTTGTGTCCCGAAAAAACACAATGTAGGCATTACACGGTGCGTCGCTTTATCTTTATCGCCTCAAAATGCAGCCAACTATTAAAAAAACTGCCTCAACGTCGCAGAGCTCAAATGTCCGGTCTCTCCACTTATCCATTTGTCCGTATATCATCCACTTCAATGTCTCTGTCAATAAAGCTAAATGGGTCAGGCTCGAGCAAGCAAACGAAATTATTTTCTTGATATTTTCAATTGTTTTATACGCTTTGTTTGTGAAAGAGAATTCATTAACTTACAAGCAGGAGTTATTTTTAGAGTGTAATCCGTGCCCCCAAGACTGAATTGTCTTAACTTACACATATTCTAATTAATATATATTGAACTGTGTACTTACCCACAAATTAGCACAAATATGCCTATTAAATACACTGCAGATGGATTGCTCACAAAAGTAATTGGTAAAATACCTAAAATGAAAGCATGCAGGTTTGTGAGTCTTACTTGAATCCATGAGAATCGCATAGAGGGGCAACAGTTTAAAGTACGTTTATAGTAAGAAAAATACTTGTTTTATCTATGTTCGTATATTCTAGAGGATTTCTAATTTGTTTGGGCTTAAAATTGTTTGTTCATTAAGTGGCAGTGCCTACTGTGCCTTAAGCCCGTAAATAATTTCTCGCTATTCAACTCTGGCGCGCTTCAGCAACAAGTTGCCAAAGTTGTTAAAGCTTTTGTTTACAATGTTTTGTGAGAAACTTTGCAAAATGCTGCAACTAATTAAGCTGAACTTGAAACAAAGTTTGTATAAAATAAAATATAACTGTAGTTTATATTTAAGCTTTACTATGTTTACGGATGAGATATAATTCTTTAAAATTGAGAATGCATTTCAACTACTCTTCAAACTTGACAAGATAACAGAAAGTTCTCTGATAAAGGTAAATTTTGGTGATACGGTATTTAGTTAACAGGAAACTTATCCGCAGACAACGCGGCGAATTCGCAAATGTTTATAAATATACAAAATGTACAGCGACAGACTATTACATCATTTTCTACGTATAAACTGAGCTGGCAAAGTTTATTAGCCCAATTGACTAATGCATGTAAACAATCCGATCGGGCTTAGCAACATTGTTGCTGTGCAAGTGTTGCTGTGTTGCGGGTGAAAGTAATTGGAAACATTTGTGGCCCTGAAACGGCTAATTTGAAAAGTGTTTGTTGTTTTAAGCATAAATTAGAACAAGCAGCACGACAACGTGGCCTGTGCAAACTCATAAATAACTCGATGCTGATCTCATGCAAAAATCGGCCACAAATGGGTCGGCAACTATAAATTTTAATGTGTTTATAAATAAGCAGCAGACGCAACTAAAAGCAAAACAAATAAACTCTATAAATTATAAATCACGCAGCCCCAATTAAAACACCAAACGAAAATTGCTACAAAACAAATCTAAAATAAAATAACACAAAAATTGTTTGCTCCGGTTTGAGCCCTGCAACTTTGTTTGAAAGCGCGCGCCAAAGACATGACGGAAAAAAAGCGTTGCAACATGTTGATAAACATGGAGCCGGCAAATTTGAAGTCAAAAACAAACACACACATACGCACACAGGCACACGTACAGCCGCACAGAGCGGGAGAGCGCGAACATGAGCGAGAACGAGAGAGCGAGCACACAGCATCAACAGCAGTGCTGCTGACGTCGACATTGAAGCCGGCTGGCTTTGCTCGGCTTTTGCTTTTTATGCCCTTGCCTTAGGTATTAAGACGTTGTGACGAAATATGTAACACATTGGAAAACAACATCTGTGTGTGCTCATTTGCAACGTATATTCTTGATTAGGCAGCAACAAGCTGTATTGATACCCTATCTGTTGGCTGGTAAGAAATTGACTTTAACTTTCTGTTATAAAAGATCAATCATAAGTAGCTGGTCGGAATACATCGTTACATCGTTATATATCCTATGGTTAGAACAACAGAATATTAAAAACAAGTAACTTAACTAAATATAAATGTATAAGATTATTTCTAGCCAGTTTAGCGAACACAATTTCTAAATGTCTTACAAAAATAAAACCAATATCATTATGCATACAATATTATTACATACACATTCTCTTGGTCAGACGGTTAGAGTATTTGTACGCCAACATGCCGCTGTTGGCTCCAATTTCTGGTTGGCTTTGCGTTTGCGTTTACGTTTGCTGGGCGAACAGTCGCAATTTTACAGTCGCTGTGGCCGAACGTGCGCGCGGCCAACGAGCCAAACAGAATTATTTCGAAACTCAAAATATCCGTTAACAAAAAAAAAAAAAACGACAAATTCTACTTACGAAACGCATGACAAGTGCATTTCACGACTGCAGGTGAAATTATCGGCGCCTCTGTGTTGGCCAACCAACCCACCCCGGCCCCCCGCACTGCTTAGCACGAGTTGGTGTGTCTTGTGTGGCTAATTCACTAATTCGCGCCCAGTCAACGCTAATTGGCTAAATCTGTGCATTTGGCCAAAATAAATATCAAGTTTCAATATTTGCCGTGTGCCCGAGAATTGAGAATTGTGTTTGGCTCCATTTCAGCCGCAGTCTGTTGCCAATTTGCCAATTGCCGGCAAAATAGAAATCGAAAATTGTTTTGTGTAGTGCCAACAACAACAACAACAAAAATAAAGAACAGCACTCAACTGTTTTGCTGTTGACTGTTTTCAAAATTTAGCTGTTGATTTAGAGAATTGGAAATCCTAAAGGTAAGTGTCAATTATGCAATTTTTAATTACTTTAGTACGGTAAAAAAAAAATACCTAAATGTTGTATAATAAAATGCCATAAACAAAACCTCAGCTCAAACATAAACTAAAATATAAAACTGTCGCATAACTAAAATGATTTATTAACTAAAAAGTTCCACTGATAATTACATAGTTGAAGCATCAAAAAATTAGAATATTCAAAATTCAACAACTATGCCAGAGATTTGATAATTAACTAAATTAATATATGCTAAATGTTTTACATGTGCCAGATATTATGCCTAATATATCATTGGGTATTTTTATGTGTAATATATTAAAAATATATTAAAACAAAATTGTTCTCATTTTTTATTTGAATAAATTAAAGCCCATTATAAAATGTTCGACTCAAATTGCCAAATATATACTCATTTTTGTTTCAAATAATATTATTGTTGGAATAATTGTGGATGCGTGTCTTAATATCTTAAGTCCACGTGCTTGCAAATTTGAGTAATTTTGTACTTATTACCATGGTAAACGCTTTTCATATTTAACGCAAAGGACAACATTAATTTTCGAGAAATTTTTTGCTGCAAATATTTTGAGTAATAGAGAGATTGACATTTGCTTTGAAATATGTTAGTTCACGTTCTCAAAAAATTAGGCAAGGACTTGAAATCCTTCCAAAACGTTAAATTAATTGTGCAAGTTCTTGTTTCAAGCCCAATACTTAAGTTTGGTCTTAATTTGAGCTTTTATATGCTTATATGTGTCAATTGATTTTGAGTAAATGTGCAAATATTTAAAGTCTATTTGAAACCGACTACTTAACTTAAGTTTGAGCTTTTATTAGCTTAGAGATTGTAACTCGATTTTGCAAAATTCACGTACTTCTCAAGTTGGCATTTTCTCAGCCCGAAAGCAACTAGCGAATCGGCTCTAATTAAAAGTGCGAAATGTGCTACCCTTTTTGTGTGGCCGACCACTTGACAAGCATGCCACCTTCCCAAGCCCAAGCCCAAGCCCGCGCCCAAGACGACACACTTACTCCGCCTCCCTGCCGAGTGGCTGCTTGATTGCCTCGTGCTTTTGATTGCCTTGAAGTGGACTTAATAAGAGCGTAGATTTATGTACTAGATTAGCCGCGTCAACAAAAGGCCAGCGAAGGGGAGTCCCGACTTGTTTGCCCACAATTTTCCGTTTAGTTCATGGTATAGGTAAAAATCCGTTTATTAATGAGCTGTCAGCTGTGGACAAAGATGACACAACAGCAGTTGAATGGTAGCTCCAAGTAGATGCCGCAAATCCTTGGCTCATCAATTAATGTCGCCGGCTACAAAGGGCACTCTCAATAAGCCGGTGTCCTTGCCACAATTTTGTCAATCAAAAGCATATTTGCTGCTGTTGCCTCCTGTTTAAGCAAATGCATTCCATATTCATAAGTCGACAGAGTGTTTCCAAAGCTGCGGCGGCTCGCAGGTAGACAAAAACAAAATCGTTAAAATCGATTTAGGTGAAGCGGCCGGAAGGTGGTTGGCGGGGCACAACAGCTCCAAAACTCGAAGTGACCTTCAACAACGACAGCGTCAGCGGCAACTCCTCCAGCGCTCCGGCTGGGCTTGTGGCAAAGATTCGGGCGGACCGTAGCCAAATGGCGTACACGTCACCGTCGCCGTCGCCGTCGCCGTCGCTTTTGTGGTGGCTCATAAATAAAAAAGTAGACGGCACATTTCTTGCCAGGCTCCGCGCGCGTTCAGGTGCTCGCCCCAACGCGCATATATTTAGATATTTAGCAGCACACTAAAAATACATTCGAGTGTGTTTTATATTTTGTCTTGTTTTTATTTTCTCTTTTTTTTCGGCAAACAGGAAAATAAAGCCCTGCACAAATGTTGGAGGCATGCGAAGCACCACTGAAAAGCATTCTTCGGCAAATTTTGGCGCAACTTGGGATATCACAAGAATGCCAGATGCACAAATAAAATTAATAAAGGAGTCCAAATAAACGAATTTCAAATACACTTATCAAACTTAAGGCTTCCAATAAGTTCATAAATAATAGAACTCGAAGTTATTTATGTCTAAGACTCGATTTGGGACTCTGCGAGTTGAAGCTACATAAAATTATGGACGCCTTGACAATACTAAAAGCAAAATAGTTACAAGTCTCTTTTTTATCTTGCCACATAAAAGTCGAACCTTTTTTAATACCTATAAAGCGAAGTGAGATTTGAACCACCAAATTCAATATTCCACCTGGGCATCTCTATTGCGAGTATCTTGACAATATTATAAAAAAAAAAGAAAATAGTTTTAGCTCCCTTATCATGAAACTCGATAAATCTCTCATACTAAGAAGGAGTTAAACCACCGACTATCTTGCAATCATTGAAGTTAGGTACAACTTTTAGAAATACTATATTCCAATTACATTTCTTTTATAACACTGTTGTTCAGTGTGAAAAGCATGCTAAAAAAAAAGTACAAAAGTACAAAGGTCCCTTATTTGCTCGACATTTAAGTCTAGTTGAACTTTTTACACTCAACTAACTGAAAGAGTATAAAAAAGCAAACAATACGAACTAAGCATAAACCAAATCAAAATAAAAACAAGAAGACAATATGATAAACTTGTGTGTGCATGTGTATGGGGCGAGTGGAGGGCTGGGACACAGGCAACATTTTGCAGAGAGCATAAAAACAAAAATGAAATAAGAAATGGCATAAAAAAATGCAACAGCCTCGTGAAGAAGCAACAGGAAATGGCAGCGAGCTACGATATGCGAAGCTGAGGCCAGGAATTTGCACACGAGCCACAACAAAATCGGAGGAGGCGGTTGGAGTCTCGCTTGGATTCGGATGTGCCAGCAGCTTCATTTGGGCGGCACTTTGGTTGGCAGTTGTCGAATTTTAAATGTGGGCCAGCTCGTAATGGGGCTGTTCTGTACTGGGGTTCATGATGACGTCCATGTCCAGTTCGGACGTTGGGCAGGAGCACTGTGCTTTCATGCTACTCCATTTGTTCTGGCACTTGGCACGCTTTTAATGCTTTTGGGCCAAGGTTAGCACGCAGCACACATATAATGATGGCCAAAGAAGTGGCAAGAAGCAGCGCCAGTAAATAGAAGAAAATGGCGAAATACAAATTGTATAAAAAAGCGGCTCGGCTCAAAGAGGGGCGCTTGGCAATTGGCAGCGGGCGGCCGTGTGGGGCACAGAGATAAAAGCGTAAATAGAAGCGTGGCACGAAATTTTCGTTTTATTTTAGATTGCCAGACTTGAGCTGTCCTTTGAGGGAGAGGTGTGTGTGTGTGTGTGTGCGTGGGTATTGAAAGTGTGACTGTGCACGGAAATAGGCAGGTCAACTTACCAACACGCACACAGTTAAATAAATTACGTAAAGAGACCCAGTTGGAAGTGAATGCATGGCAAATGTACATCTAAAAGCCTAAATAAGCACATATGCAAACCGCGAAGAACTCACGTTTCCTGTATGAAAGGTTTCATGAGTTCACATATGTAAAGCACTTTCAGTTTACCCATAAACTTTATGAAAGCGCAAGGTCAACATTATGCTTGGAATTATGCTGTAACATTTTGGTTATCCTCATTACGTGAAGCTCAGCTGGGTGGTCCGTGCTGCTTAGTGACCGCAGTTTAAACAAACTGTTGGCAAACTTACTTGTCTCGCTGGTGTCCTGGTGTCCTGGTCCGTGTCCATGTTAAGTTGTCACCAGGATTTGCTGTCTCTCTCTCTCTCTCTTTCTCTCTCTCTGTCTCTCCCGCACGCGCATACATGGGCTGTCTCGCTCGTTTTGCTGACTTTGCGTGTGTGTAATGAATTTAAAGTTTGCTTCACATATATTTTTCATGCGCTTGCAAATTGTTATGGGTTTTTTTTTGCTACCCACGCAACTACCTCGCCCACCGCCCACCGCTCCATTACGCCCACTCTGCTAGCTGTGGCTCATTTTTATTAAGTGGGCCGCGCGTTTGTCAACGTTGCGTGGGTGTCGACTAATTCTCTCTCCGTGTGCGTGAGTCCTTGTTGTCCTTGGCAGTGCCGCACGAGACACGATTATTAATTTGCAATTGCTACTAATTGCATGACATTCTCATCCCCATTCCCCCTCTTCCACCCCAGCGTCATCTGTGTGTCATCTGCTTTTTCATCATTTGCGCATAACGTATTCAACTAGTGTACACTAATTGCGCAAATGTTTAGATAAAGATAACCAAGCTGCGATAAGATTACCAACAGCAGCATAAACGTGTTGCTGCTGAGGTTAAAATAAAAAAGGGAGGAAATAAAAAGAAACATGTGGAAATGAGCTAATCGCTTGAGCATCTTGGAATTTGCATTTTATGCTTCCACTTGAACTGATCCAGTTAAATTCTTTGAATCGATGCTTCGCATCTATTTTTTGGGGCCAATAAACAAAAGTTTATATATAGATGAACTATTCAGATAAATTGGAAGCACACAGGGGTAGTTGGCGCGAAAATATTTGCGTAAACAAAGCAAAAAGCTAAATTGAAATCAAATTATTGAAGCATTCTTGATCAATTTATTGTTATATTGAACTATTTCGAGTTAGTGGGCAGCTAATTGAGCTGAATTTGGCATGGCGAAATTTATATAACGGGTCGAAATTTGTCTATATATAGAAACACAAACTAGGCACTTAAAGGATCTGTATTATAGGAATAGTAACAAAATATCACTCCAACTTATTTTTAATCAGCTCGATAAAATTAGCTTAGCCTTGGTATTCGAGCTTGCATAGATTTAGGAGTTTAGTATTTAAAAAGCGAAGTATTTGAGAGTAGTTATCAGTTATATAAAAAAGATCAGCTCACATTTTCTATTGTGTGCCAAGTCTTCATTCAGTTTATTGCAAACAATTATTTCTTATTGCATTTATGATTATGTTTTCATTTTGATGCAATAGGTAAACAACATTTCTGTATATTGTTTTTTTTTTTTCGCTTATGTTTTTTAGCATATTGCA